CCAATTTTCTTAACTTTCCCTTTGTCCGTTGTCTTTCAAGGAGGCACGGATTGCCCCTTGAAAAGAGAGATCGGCTACTTCTCCTTGCGCGCCTAACCCCCTTTCTCGCCCATACATACCTCAAAAGAGAAAGAGAAACGACGCTGCAGAACGCCTGAATGGGGCAACGATGAGCGCTTCTGCGATACCGACTTGAGAAGGGGTGGTGGCAAAGCGATATGCTTCATACGGCGCACCTGGGAGGAGTCGCGAATCCTTTTTTTTTTCCCCTAATAGACTATCAAAGATGTACCTTAATCTTTTCAATACATTCATGCCTGAAAAACCAGTGATGGCAGTCAAACGACACACACAGTCCTTGTGCAGCTCAAGCAGCGTGTTTTCTTGTGCCCCGCCCCCCTTCCCCCACGAAGCATCGAGTTGTGACGTCCTGTATCGCCTCGTACTGATGATCTATGTGTACGGCGTCATGATGCATTCTGAATGGCAGCGGCTGCGGTGTGACTGTATCTGGCGAGACCTGCAGGGAGCTGCACGTGGAAGGCTAGGTTTGTTCAACGAGACTGGACCGGGTGAGGCCGCCCTTAGCCCTCGCCGATTCTGACGACAACAGCTGACTGCACGTTTTTACTACCTAGGTAGGTAGTGCAGCTGTGTCTTACTAGATACCAGCAAGACAGGTAATATGATGACATGGTGGGAATGTGGCAACGGAGAGACCCTTGTTGACGATGAGGCCTTTTTCCCTTCTGCTTTTTTTCTTTCCCATCCCACCTCTTCTTGCGAACAAGTTAGGTCTTCAATAGATAATGTGAAAATGTGACAGCTGATAAGACTTTCTCTGATCGAATTCTCCGAGCCAGCATGGGGTCCGATAGTATGTACAGTACAAGAATGAGGGAGAAGGAACATCGCGAGCTGGTTGGTCCGCGCCATGATATTGGGCAAGTAGAAGCATCACTAGTCATGCATCTAGGCTCTTTTGGAGCTGCATGACGACGATGGGGTGCGAGTCATGCAAGCGTCTGCAGCTATTCGCCGACGAGGCGAAGCTGCGCATGCACCTCTGGAATTCATTCAGCATGTGAATCTACATATAGTAGTCATACTAATTCATCACATAGCTGAGAAGTTGGGTGGTGTTTGGGACGTTCTAATCTCCGACACTGCAAAGGCAGCTTCTAGTCTGCTTTTTTCTCTCTCTTTTTTTGTTTTCTTTTTCTTCTTTTTTTGCCCCTGTCTGTTGGTTGAATTCATAGCGACACTGACAAGGTTCTCTCATCTTGTCTCCTATCCTAGATCTCAAGCTTGCCAAGGCACGCATGAAGCACGGGCTTTGTGCTTCACACGAGACACTTCCCTCTCGAAACAACTGCACGGGTGATGTAAATGGGTGAAACAGAAACAAACCCTTGTCGTTGCTTGGCCTCGACGCTCGCTGGCGCACCGCCTCATCACTTATCACCGCCAAACGGCACGCCGGCTCCAAATCGATCGCATTTGCCCATCGTATTTCGTAAGTAGGATTTGCAGGCAAAGTCGGTTGCCGCCGTTCGGCGACAGCTGCCGGCTTGGCTGCATATATCAGCCGCAGGGAATCGGACTTCGTGTGCTTGTCCATGTATATACTAATGTATGTATGAGGTAGTACCTAGTAGTACAGTAGGTGCCAAAGGCTGCTTGACGTAAAAGTATACCAGCATTCCCTAGCCCTGCCCTTGCATGTCGTCTGGGCTTGTCATGTCTCCTTGTTGGGTCCGTCAGATGCGATTACCGCGCTGGCATCGGCTTCTTCGCCTGCGCCTAAGCGATATCGGCTGCATGCAACGGGAGATTCATCCCTTCGGGCGTCGGTGCACGCACGGCTGACGAAACGTGAGCTCCGAGGCCGAATCACCCAGTGTCTGTGCTTCTCTCGCCCTTCATCAACTGACTCCTTTTACCTCTCATGTAGGCTGATATCATTGCAGAGCATGCATTCCCGTACGTGATGCTATTGTTGCACTGGAATACTAGTAGCGGTAGTAGTACGAAGATCCGGCCAGGATGAGCGAGTCCCGGTAACGTCTTGGCTTGGCTGGAATCGCGCCTGTGCTGTCTGTCGGATCCCTCAGCCATGGCCCCCAGACATTGCCGGTATGCCGCAGATGGTGTGAAGCGCTGCATATGAGGCTGATGATTTCGGAGCAAATCATAGGACGGCCTTCAGCAGATGTAGACGGTACTTGGCCGCGCCTCGAGGCGACTTCATCGAAGTACCCTCTACTTTCATGCAGCTTGGTAGATCCCCAAGTCTGACCGCTTCCAATCATGCACTATATCAAGGGCCCTGAGCCAGGGTGTGCTCATCTTCTGCACACGTGGATTGGTGACTTGGCGTTTTGCCAATTCGAGCTGCCTCTACAATTCTGCCAGTAGCAGTTCCATGTCACTCAGATGGTAGGTTTCATTGCAGATGCTTTTGGGGCCAGATATGCCCTGGCTCAGACGTGATGCCCCGGGCTGTGTAGAAGCACCGTTCAGAGCGTGGGCATCAGTAATATGGAGAGATCCATCTCCTCGGGAACGGCACATCGATGACGTCTGAAATGTGCAAGTTGCCGCCTGCCACGATAGCTTGTATGTAGCTATGTGAATTATCTGATCAGCAGTTACGGCCTTCATCACGATTCGGTGGGGTATCGTTCGCCTGATTATCGTGGTAGTACAACCGGTATACTTTGGCCATTGATTCGCCTCGTTGATCAGGCTGCAATCCGTCTTGACGAGAGGATCCCGTACTCTAATTACGTGCACTTCTGATTAAACTCAGAATATTGTCGGCAAACCAGATTTAGGACCTAGTAGATAGGTTGTGCTGAATGGCCACCCTGCAGAAGGACATTCGGATATACTTAACGTTCGGGCTTCACACGCCTACTAGGTTTCTAACTGCCAGTGGATACAATGTATTTCGGTACTCAGAGCTCATCTTAGCTTCTGTTTGGTCATTATTAGTGGAAGCATCCAACTGCTATCGAATTAAATTGAACCGAGTTGAGAGTGAGAATAAAAGTCATGGTTATGAATTACACGTCGTATCAACCTTAGCTCGAATTGGGAAGGAGGATTGGGCAATACCTGGATTGTGACACGAGAGGGAAGGTACGGTTGTCTGCTGAAGGCTGCTGCCTCTTTCCAACTCTTATCCAAAAAGACACAAAGGCTTCGAGCCAGGATGAAGAAGGACACTTATCAGGTCCGGGCTATGCAGCCTCAATCGCGAAAACTGCGGAGGCATTCTGACAACATTGAGAGCTTGGTTTGCCTCTCGAGATTTGATTCTGAGCGATCGAGTCTAGAAGGCCATGCTCGACATGGTACCTACCTACAAACAAAGAGAAATCCAAGCATCCACCTTTAGATACGTAACCACCTTTGTACTGCGGAAGGAGCATCTGACAGACCGGTTGATTAATACGGGCATGTAGAGAATCTGGGGTCACATGATTCGTCTCGCCTACGATTCTCCCACAAAGGGTGAATCCAAAAGGCCTCTCGAGTCAACACAATCGTCGAATTCATTCACCTACTCGGTACTAGGTAGTTCTTCATTCTACAGCCATCTGCTGCGAGGATTCTGATTTGATACAACAACACTCGACAATACTTCGCCGTCACTTGTGCCTGGTCTTCAAGCCTCTACTTGTCAAGCACGCCCACAAGACCCGAATCGTCCTCGTCCGGAGACAGCGACTACCGAGGAGGATAACCTCCTTTGAGAATTTCCAGCCAATTTTTGACGCCTCTGCTCTAGATGTCTCGACTTCATCGATGTTACATGGAGGAACTAGAGAGCCTCCGGAGAAATCTTTCACAAGGTAAGCTCCATGCCGATCAGTACTTTGACTGGCCGACCCGAATCCGCAACGGAGAGAGAAGAACTCTAATGCTTCATATCTTAGGTAGTTGACTACTGATAGATTTTATGAATCTACATGGTCACGGGTCGTAGCGCCAAGCTGATGCTGCAAAGACGCGACAGTGTCACTCTTGGAACGCAGGAAGGATACTCTTCTTTGGTTGTCAACGAAGTTCCAGTCCCCTCGAGCGACTTCTTCTATGGTGGCTGGCGAAACCTTTTTTCCAGGATATGGTCACAAAAAGCCATTGCATCCATCAAGTTGTCCATTTGTACGGCGACCTGTCGACCCCGATTTCTGTCATCGCAAGCTTGTTACAGAATCTTGTCGAAAGTCTCTTCTGAGAAGTCCCAGGATGCCTACCTGAGACGAGCCGTACCTCAGGGGAATGAGTCCGATATCCTTTCCGGAAGACCCCTGGACGCCTGCCACGACTTGATACAGACCTACCATGCTTCGCATTCACATGTTCAACAAGATGGCGCGAGCTTGACACGAAGTGGGAGACTTTCCCTGGTGTTTGATGATCATTCATGTATCAAAGGCAATGCATACACCAGTTACAGAAGCCAACCATACAATCTCTTGCCCTCAGTTCACCGTTGCCCTTGACTTTGGCGATTACTTTCAGAATCCGCGTGCCCATTACCATGTTTCACGAGGCTTTGTCACAAGAATGAGCAACGGTATCCAGCTCAGGTCAGTCTGCTTTCCGTCATATAACAATGGCAGTCTCTGGCAATGAATCCTATAGGTTAGGTCACGGCTGACTTTGGAGTGGGAGATGCAGAATGACACTCTGCCTTTGAATGATGCTCTCAAGAAACGCCGCACTTGATGAAGCAGCGTGCCGGACGCCCGTCGCTTCAACAGCTTTCAATTTGCTTTGTCACCACGTTCGGCGATGCGATGTTGATTTAACCGTTGGAGCTACTACGTCATCGTGGGATTCAGGAGCCACTACCACATGCTACTAACGATTCTGCGAGGAATATCCAGCGAGGACTGGCCACCGCCATGCGCTGATAATCGCTCAACATCTGGCGTATTGGTTCATTCAACCAGCCAGATTCCAAACCCTCTCGCCTGGACACAGAACTCCTTCGCTTTGAAACGGCAACGTCGCCTTCATCGAACAAAGTACCATTCCCCATCCACACTGTCGTATCTTGGGCCACTCGACAACCATACCCAACATGAAACTGTCCGGGCCACCGCTCGTCTTGGTCGCGACTGGCGTCATCGGCTCCGCATGGCTGTCTGGTGAGTCTCAACCCCACGAATTGCAAGCTCGGGGTCACAATGCGGGAATACTCTCTTCATACCTCTCTAATGCTGCCATAGGGGCCATCATATCATTCTCGATCGGCGGAGCTCCAGCTGCTGCTGCAGTGAACCAATCGTCTGCTAAGATATGGGCTGAACTGTACAAGCGTGGAGCTGCTTCGATGCCCAAGTTCGCCGTCGGCACTTCTTTGGCTTACATTCTTGCGGCATACAGTGCGTATGGCAACGGCGGGCCATGGGGGAGCTACCTGGGAGCCTCTGCTTGCGTGCTGTCCATCGTACCTTTTACCCTGACAGCCATGAAAGATGTCAACGGGTCATTGCACGAAGAGGCTGACAGAGAAGCCAGTGAGGAGACGCAGGTGTCCACGGTGCGCGTCAAGGGGCTCCTGGATAGATGGATCACCTTGAACCTGGTTAGAGGGCTCTTACCGCTTGCTGGAACAGCCCTGGGCTGCTTTGCATTCTACCATGAGGGATTCTGATGGCACAAATTGTCGCTCTGTCGATATCGATACGTGTTCCACCAGCCCAGATTGCCTAAAAGGCTGGCCGCGTGTCGTTCTTGGGTTCTCCTGTGTTCTCGATTCAACTGTCAAGATGCAACAAGAATCAAACACGATGCCTCATTCTACATTGCATGCGCCTCGTCATCTCATATTGTCACACAGCCAAGGTGTCAGGTCGGACGTCAGAAGAGAACCGCGAAACCGGGACGAAGTGTGACCATTGCGTACCACCTTAGTTACCTAGTACCTACTCACCATTTGCAGGCAGACAGGGTGCGTCAATGCCCAGATTCCAAGCCACGTCGGGTGGATCTGAAACCAGCCCCCCCGAAAGAAACACCGAAGGTTGCAACCTGTGTCTTCTGAGCACGCTGGAAGCGTTGGATCGTGTTGCAAGCCGCCGGTGTCTGTTCGTCAAGGCTACGGAAGCACCCGACGCAGAAAGCCCATTATGGCACGTAACCGCTGAAGGAACACGACAGCAACACCTGTTGATCATGAGTTTCCTCTCTAGGGTGAATTGAGAGTATCGCTAAAGAGGCTGGAGACAACAAGGCTAGAGACAACAAGGCTGGACGATTCTCAGACTTGTTCATCTCTTTTCTCTGTCTGTGCTCCTGTCTTCTCGTCTTTCCTTTTGCTCTATGGGAGGGAAATAGCTTGCTATCGAGGCTGTTTGAATGAATCGAAGCAACAAAAGCTACCCATCCAAGAATAACAATGCTCTTGACGGCGATAAGATAGGACCGCCCGATTCCAAGCGGACGAAGAAACGTCACTTCATGATAACGACCAGTCGTATCCACCGAAACGATGGACAAAGCCAGAGAAATCAATCACCCATTGTATTGTGAGAAGCCTGCGGTTCAACAACCGGAGTAGAAGCCCCTTTCCAAATTGCCAAGGATCGGAACACAATAGCAGCTGACCAGAGTCCGGCCTGCATGTTCACCACCCTCAACAGAAAGGGGGTAGGAATAACACCCAGCGGCGCCTGAGCAGAGCCTCCCAAAAGATGATGACGGGCCTTGCGGCTTCTCTTGTCCCGAGCTCTGGATCGGCCAGCCCCCCCTGACCATGATATCGCATACATGCCGCTATTGACGACAGAATCCATTCAACACTTGGAAACAATAAGAGCTCGGAACCGAAGGGCTTCTTGACACACTCATTACTAGTAGCTTGGAGACATGATCCTGCTCTAAACATAGAAAGGTTGTCACGTCAGTGGCAACGTTGCGGTGAGCAAATACAACTCTCTTGAGTGTGGACCTGGCACGGCTGGAGGAGGCAAAGGACAACTCTAGCACATCTGAAGAGGCGCCTATTTCGACACAATGAGCGGGTACGCCCTGATGGCTTGACAGAAACCTTGGTCGAAACCTCGTGGCTTGCATTCCTTTTGCTCTCTTTGCATGCGGTCATGCAACAACGGGTCATAGAAATTGGACCTAAAGGTGCTCCAACCCTTGACGGCAAGGTTCAGCTGCACACCCAACGGCATCATCTGTTTGTTTGCGACTCTGCAGGGGGGGACACCACGCGTCTACTGCAGCGGACATTGAAGCTATCACGCACTACCTCCACAATACGCAGCAGCAGGATGGACTGAAGTGTCAAGGAGCTCGATGGCCCCCGACTTCGCGCTTAATCTCGGCTGTAACATCTAGCTGCGCCGCCAGTCCAAGAATTTGGTCGGCCAACACCCCCCCTGTGTGATATCGATCCGAGACCAGTGAAGCCGTTGGTTTTCCCTCAATCTTTCATATCCTTGCGGCCCGGATCCCGGTTTGGCTCATATGCTTCTGAGGCTCCAATGAAGGCTTCGTGATATCCTGAACTTGTGGAAGCAGCAGATCCTTGCGATTCAGGGAAACGTCTGGATCCCTACTGCAGAAGCCATGGTCGTGAGGGTCCAGTTTGTAAAACACACTAGATACGGAATACGATTCCAGTAGTTGGGAGACTCTCCGCTTCGCAGCAAATCTTCCGACCTGGTGCGGTAACTTGCCAAGGATCAACGAAGTAATGAATCTCTCCCTTCCATGGTGCGGACTCGAAAGACTGACAGTTGTCCGATCCCCCAACAATCAGTTGATTGGCCCGTGGCGGCCATTTCCATATTAACAAGGGCCTCTGGCGCCTCACATCAGTCAAGGACTGCGTAGATAGGCAGAGCGGACACCCATATCTGACTCTGGGGTGTGGTCCCAATGCGCCCCGCAGCATCGTCGTGCTCTCAATCATGCTGGGATACGTGACAGCCCCAAGGCTAGACGACGCCACGAGCTCGGAAGGCCAGGCAGGCCAGACCGCCGCACGGTGGACATGCCGCGCGAACAGGGTCCTGGAAGTGTGCCGAGAGGGCAGCGAACACCCGCTTTCTCTCGAATGGCCATGTCTCTGACTGACTTGGTCGATTGAGAGCACTTCTCAGGGCAGCCCTTGGCACAAATACAGATGAATAGTATTGTATAAATCTCTGCGCGAGCCGTTGTCTCAGCCGAGGTCTTAGACTGGATCCAGATCCGGCTCTTCGGAGAATCTCCTGGCATATGGGAAGCACTGCAGCACACTGGCAGAATACGAAGACTGGAAGTGCCAATCTGCAGCCGTTTCCTTGTTCGTCTTCCGGTCCTCTTGATGATGATTATGGCGGTCATTCTCTCGGGGGATAAAGCAAACAAGTCGGGATAGATGGAGCATCAAGCTCGACAGGGATCACAGCCAGCCCAAGCTTGATTTGCTCCCTTTCCTGTCTCGGGCGACCTCGCGCCATTTGCGTTCGGCTCAGTCGACCGCCGTCTGTCTATCCGTCTCTCGTCGTCTCATGAATCCCATCTCCCCCCCTGCTGTTGATCCCTCCTCTGATCTTCCATCGTGTCTCTCATTCTTCTCTTCCTCTCTCTCTAGCATCCCGGCCGGTCCGCCGCCTGTTCCCTGCTAGACGCTCTGTTAGCTTCTTGGCGAAATATCCAGCTCACCGGATTCTGGGTTACGAGTGGCAGCCGCTCCGGTTTTGAATGCAGCTACTGCTCCAGCCGTTATCGTGGACCTGAAATCAGGCCTTGTTGCAAGACCTACGGGCAGTGGCAAAATTGCAAGCAGCCGATCTTCTAGGAGAGACAGTAGGCGTCATGCTCTTTCCTCTCTTTCCCCTCTTCCCTCCCCTCCCCTTGCAGGCAAATGTCTCCGGTAGGAAGACGTGCGGTTGACGGATGCAATGATGCCTCAGGAAGACATCAAGTGCTTCTCGTATCTGCTCTGCTCGTACTCGCACCAGTCAGCCCGAGCCTCGTTGACGCGCACCTTCCTACCTACTCATGCCGCTTGTCTCCAAGAATGACGATGCAATGAGGAAAGAAGGTCCGCGAGTTGAATAGCACCCTAACCATCACGTGATAGCTTGTTCGCATAGGTAGTACCTACCGAAGCCAATTGTTCGAAGAGAAGAACACCAAGCAAAGCTGCTTCGCGAACAGCAGACGAGAACCCCGACCTTCTCTTGTGCTACCCGTTCACTATCCGCTACGAAACACTCGTCCATCGCCACGGCCGCGAGTCTAGGCAGCCCAAACCCGCTTTTCTCTTTTCTCCCGGCTATCCTCACCCCAGCCGACTTCAGATGGTCCATACAGATAGCACTGGCCCTTTTCCTGCATGCTATGACCACGGCCGTCTCTGCTTGATGTGCTCGACCGATACAGCCCAGCCCATCGAGCAACGAATCAGGCGGCGGTGTGTGTAACAGAGCCCTTGAGACAGCAAGGATTATCAACCTCCCTTGTGAGTCGGAAGTTTGCTGCTTTGCATGAGTTGGCGCCGCCAGCCAGCCTCAACTTGCGTCCTGCCTCGTCGCTATTGGTACGTCTGAATGCTACTGCACGTCGCTCGCGCCAGGTATTGGTCGGCTCTGCCTCCGTTTTCTCCCTCTCCCAAGCATGAGCATCCATCTCTCTCTCTGCCCCCACCCATCCCTTTCTGACCATGCCCCTTCTTCACTGTGTCTCTCTGTTTTTACGGCAGCCCGGCAGAATCGCCGCCTAGGGAAGGATAGACTCTTACTAACGACTGTCTAGGCGATCGTGTCTCTCCACAGAGCTCAGGCACTGCGCTTAGGCTCAAGGGAACTAAAATAGAGACGGGCACTAGCCCCGGGAGCCCGGAGCGTCCTGCAACCATGACAGGCGGGACCCAGGCCAAGACTCTGCCGTGAAGAGACGGGCTGGGGAAGCCAACTAGGGTCCCCGGACGGGGTGTGTTTGCATCAAGCCCACACAGCTGAACCTCGTTCAGAGACACTTGTCACTGCTGCATTTTCTTTGTGGCGTGGGGGGAATCATGTCTCCGTAAACGCCGATTTGGAGTGGGAAGACAAGGAATGCTCCGCTTCAGCAATCATCGTCTCTCGCTCATGCGGCAGGGATGGGTTCAGGACCCCATTCGCTGCGTGGCCGCCAGAAGAGGGTCATTTCTGCCCTGCCGATGCCAACCTGTGGTATCATGGCACGAAGCACGCACTGCATCCTTGGCCAGGACGACGAATAGAATCATGGGCATCTGCAAAGGCAAATGCAAGTGGAGGAGCAGGAGCCAATGCAAATGCAAGTGCAAGTGCAATCACGAAGCATCATTATTATGGACCATCTCTGGGAGGGGGGCCGGTTTGGCTTGTGACTGCCAGCGAAGAGCACTCTGCTTCAGTCGCCTGCTTGCACGGCTGCCCGACCTCCAACGAAGCTGGGTGGAACATGGCGCCCCCAATGTCGGTTTGACCACCTCGAGACATCATCATTGCTTATTGTCGTCACGGATATCGGCCGTCATCGCGATTGACCTGAGCTGTGGCTGAGACAGGGTTCTGCTGCTCGCCGTCCTCAGCGCCTCGCCGTTTATCACTCACACGGATGTGTATGTCCTGTTGTTTCCTAATCCCACTTATCAAATCCGTCAGGCAGCGATCGTTTAAAGAGGAGTAAATTTCGCTCTCTTTTCTTTCTCCCCCTTCTACATCCCAATCATTTCATCCTTGATTTGTTACCACGGCCGAGTGCGGCCGACGAACATTTATCTGCCTCGCAGTCTCTATTCTTGTCCAT